ACTGGTTCTTTGGGTTTTCCAGCAGCTTTTCAAACACGGACGCTTTGCAGCAGACATTTTTCTGAAAGGCCAGCTGATCGTGCTGCCAGCAGAGGCCGACCACCGAGTCGTCCACCTGCCGCTCCTCCCACGTGTGGTAGTCACACCAGCCCGCGATGTTGAAGGCCGGCGTGGGCTGCGTGGGCTGCGTGGGCCGGAAGTTGAGAGAGCTGTCGCAGTGCTCCTTCAGCCAGCCGTTCTCAGGGTTGTGCAGAAGGCTGCTCAGGAAGGTTTGGTTCGAACAAACGTCCCGAGTAAAACCGCCCTGATCGAAGCGGATGCAGCGAGACAGAAGCTCCGTGGTGACCTGCATCACATCGGCCCACTCCGAGTACCGACACGCGTCCAGCTCCAAGGGGTTCGGGTCAAAGGGAGACGGTGGAGCGGGCGCGTTGGTGCAGTTCGGCATGAGCGGGAAGTTGTCAGGGTTGGAGATCAAAAGCATTAAGAATCCAGTGTGCTCACAGATGAGTTTGGTCAGTCTGGGCCCGTCCAGGTTCATGCAGAACTCCAGCAGGTGGTGGTCCAAAGGCACCTCGGGCTGCGTGAGCCACTGCTCATAGAGACAGAACTGACTGACCATGTAGGCAGGATCTGCAGAGGAGTTGGCACAGTGTCCATACATCCAGGAGTTCATCTGGTCTGACAGCAGCTTCCTCATCAGAGGAGCGTTGCTGCACACCTGCCTCACGAACTGCTCGCGCTCATTGTCGCTGCACAGGGACACGAGGACGGGCTCCACCGCCTTCTCCAGCCAGCTGTCGTAGTCGCAGGCGAGCTGCTGGAGGTTGGACACATCTCTGGCTCCCCGGTGGCGCGCAGACCGAGACAGAGAAGGAGCTTCAGACGGAGGGGGGACGGGACTGAAAGCCTGCGTGTCCTCCTGGCTGCAGTCAGGTGACCTGCTCATGAGTGGAGAGGCCAGAGCTTGGACAACATAGCACGTGTTGCTCCACACCTTGTCCACCTGGCCGGGGCTGAGGGAGTTCAGCGCCTGGCACAGCGTGAACACAGACGTAGAGAATCCTTCTCCTGAACCCGCCAGGATGTCGGCACACATGGTGTCATTGAGCGTGGCCAGCTCCCGGCGGTCACACTGCAGCTCAGAGCCGATGTCCGTGTGGTTCTTGGGTTCTGAGCCGCTGCGTTGGAAGTGGATGTTGTGAAGATCCGGACACTTCGGGCCTGGATGTGTGTAGGAGGACTCCTCTGGAGGCAGGAAGAGTCCGAGGAAGATGTCAATGAGCGGGACGCTTAAAGACCAGCTCACGTTGTGCTTTATCCCCCTGCACAGAACAGAACCACAGAACAGAACCACAGAGTTACTGCAGCAACATGAAGAGCAGCTGCTGTGTGATGTTCACTAAAGCTGCCCTGTGCAGTCTGCAAACACATGAAGTCATGTTCACATTCTCTGTTTGTTATAAACACGTCCTGTATGTCTAACAGCATCATTAACTGTGTTTCTGCTGTCAAACAGTGCTGAGAAAGCAGATCTTTAACAGCCCTGCATCGCTCACAGCTACTGTTTGTTCATCTGTTTGTTCAGGTTATTGTTGGCAGACTGCTGTTTCTTCTACTGACTCTTAATTCTCAGTATCTTCCATACTGTTGCTCTCCTGGACAGTATTTAATAGGAATCACATTTCCTCTCTGGTTTGGGCCCAGTGAAGATAAAATGCTTTATCGTTTCAGGTGTGAACGTGATACAGAACCAGATCAGCTGAATGCATCCAGACAGAGATCCAACAGGGATCCTGATTCAGGCTGCACTAAATCAGCATCTTCAGCTTCCACTCACCATGAACAGGATTTCACCCTCCAAAGGCTTGGAGCTAACTTCCCCCCTGACGTTTAGAAGTGCACAGGCTTCTTATTACCCAACATGTTTGCCAGTTGTTTGTCTCAGAACCATAGTCGTGTTCAAACTGTCATGCACTGAATGAAACCAGAGGTAGGATTAAAAAACAAACTGCATCAGGAACGAGTCCTTTTGCAGCCTGATGCACTGGCTGTTAGCCGGCTGTCTTCTACACGTGGTGATAACACCGATGAAACCTCCACAGGGCAGCTTTACAATGAATCTGACTAATGACTCACCACATGATGAGCTGCTTGAGATCTCCTGCAGAACAAGTGGGAAAAATAATTAGCTCAGAGAATAAAGGATTTGTAATCAGCTGTATGTTGTATCAGATCATGTTTAGTTTTCACTTGATCAGATAAAGAAAACTAACGCTCCACCTTGTTCACAGATGCCTCCTTCATCTAACGCCGGGACTCTGATTCCCAGCTGCAGAGCGATTCTGATGTAGTCCATGGGCAGCTCCAGCAGCGTTGCCATGAGCTGAAGGCCGAACTTCACGGCTCCATCCATGATGCCGCTGGCAGCGTTCATGACGTTCTCAGAAAGCGACAGACTGGACAGGAGACTTATATACATCTGCTGGAAGCTGCTGAACGCTGCCGTCATCGACTCCCCCGTCCTGAGGTAGGCGCTGAAGAAGCTGTTGGCCTCTTCGTCAGGGCTCGGCGGGCCGCAGGTCTGGGACCTGGCGGACGACAGGAACGCCAGCAGAGGCTTCCCCAACTCCAGAGACACCGTCTTGGTCAGCTCAGCCTCCAGCCCACAGTCCTGTCTGCCAGACAGGATGCACACTAACGTCTTGGGAAGGTCGTCTATGAATCTCTCTCTCAGCAGCGGCTGGAAGACGCCATACAAGCGGTTCAGAACATCATAGTATGCGTTCAGGTTGTGACCCTCCGCTGTGGAGCTCCGTGGGCCTCCTCCAGACAGAGAGTGGATCCGATCGATGACTTGGTGGATGTCGTCCTCTAACTTGGAGACCTCGTCAGGAGCCTGCGTCGTCTTTCTGTGTATTGATCTGGGCTGTGAAGACACCTGCTGGACATCACATATGATCCCTGTAGATGTTGAGAAAATCATGTTTGAAAAACCTGTTTTTGTTACACCAAAAAAAAAGCCTATCCCAGCTGCCTCAGGGTGAAGGCAGGTTCACCTGGACAGGTAACCAGTCTATCACAGGGCTACACTTAGAGACAGACAACCAAGCACACTTGTCTGTTTTTTCTTTGTTTTCATTCTGCAGGTTATTTTCTTCAAGTTAATGAGACTCAATCAACAGTGGATTCTAATAAATTAAACTTTTATTTAATAAATATTGAAATCTTGATACTGGCTCCTCAGTGGAAATGTTTAGTAACACTGAATCGATTTTTAGGTAAGATTGAGTTTTCTGAAGTCATGTTAGTAACTCTGTGCATTTACTCTGCTGTCCTACTTCCTGCACAAACTACAAGTTTGAAGAATTTTACTTCACTTTCTCTATTTTGTGCAGCATTGACCCCAATGAGGATTTAGTGGTGTATAGATGATAGATGATGGATGGATGGATGGATAGACGGATGGATGGAGGGATGGTGCTTCAGCTCCACTCCATCCGTCTGACAGCTCTCTGTTCCTTCCTATCCAGTAAAAACTATCCATCTCCAAATGTAGTGATCTATAATTCAGTTTCTCCAGTAAATTGAAATGCTTAGTGCTCCTTAATCGGCTGAGAACACGATGCTCAACATAAATAATCACGATTTGATTTAAAAACCTCAAGGGTTAGCAGGTAAATCTCCCAAAGCTTCGAACAGAGCTGTTTTTCCAGAGATCACTTTCTTTTCTTGTAGACTTAAGTCCAGCAACAACTCAGTCATACGGTGAACTTCAAGATTATGATGCTACGAACTGACCTGAACCAAAGTTTATAAAGTGGTGAAATGAATTCATTCATCTAGAAACATCATATTTTATGGTAAAACACAGATTTCTCTTGTACAAATATGTTAACCTTTGGTATCAGAAACCTGTACTCACCAAAGCAGAGGCACGCCGTGAAAACAGCCAAACTCATTGTAAGCATCCTTAAACACGAGCAGGCGACCGCTCCAGATATGTTTAAATCTTTTTCCACAGAGATCCACTTTATCCCGTCGCTGTGGAGGAGAAGTCCAGCTGAGGCAGACGAACCGGACTCAGACCAGGCTTCATGTTTGTCACCACCTCAGCTCTCTGACAGCACCAGTCATCCTTCATCTCTGGCCGAGGTGCTGATCCCTCTTACATGCCACTGTGCTCACCTCGGTGCCGACCTGCAACTCTACACCTGGTCTGAAAGCAGCGTAATTAAGGACACCGGTAAAGGAGGAAGAAAAGAACCAGTAGGTGCGAAACGAGGGCTGTGAAAGGCAGAAGGGATTTCAGCACCAAGCACGGCCACGGCGCTGCATTATTAACGGGCTGTGTTGATTAACTCCTCCGCCTGAAACCCGAGTCCTGTCAGAGGAGACACCAGACACCAGGCCGACTGCTGGAGGATTTACATGACTTGTGCTTCAAATATTCCGGCAGACAGCTTTTAACACCCGCATACAGCCTGAAGGATGTCTGAGACTGCTGATGGGGGAGTTATTAAAACACACACACAAAGAAACCTGATGCCTAAAATGACATGTTTAGGAACTCATCATTAATGTGAGGAGATAAGTGATGGCACATTATAGTTACTGGCCTTCATACATTTGCTTCTGCTTCACTTCCAGAGGGTCTAACAGAGGAAACACACTAAAGCTTTAGAATAATGATAAACAAAGGCCTCTTTAAGTGACTAATTGGCTTTAAGGTAATCTGACCAAAGCCGAGGTTTTCTTGCTTTAAAGGCCTCAAATGAAACCCCTTCACTGTAAAATCTCTCTTTAAAAACCATTATTAATCATCAATCGTTATAGGAGGTAATATAACGAGCTGTAACTCTGGTGAAATAAAACCCAGCAGCTACCAGTAAAGACCTGCAGGCTGTAGGTCTCCTATGAACCCTGAAGAGAACCTGCTCCACATATTCAGCATCAGCTCAGACAGCCAGGAAGGAACAAAAACAGACGGGCATGCAGGATGTTTTTAACTTTAAAACTTTGTTTCAGAAATTCAATGTAACTGTATATACACTTTACAATAGCATACAGCCTGACAGATAACAAAGATGTCTTAAAACAGCTTTTTAAATACATCTTCAGCACAAATAGCAATTCTTGCAAGTAAAATGGCTTAACGGGTATCGGGAAGAAAAAAATAAAAGTCATTAACACGACTGCTTTTTTTTTTGTTTTTTTTTTCTGCAGAAAAAGTTCCATGATTAAAATTTAATTCAGGACTTTCCCACAAAGCAAGCTGTATTGTCTACATGCTAAGTTTAACAGTTCAGTGACATAGCGCTAAACTAAACATACAGATATTTGTAAGAAAAAAACAAAACACTCCATCTGATGTAAAGTTAAATCTTCATTAATACATTTAAAAAGTAGATATGACATGCCTTTTGAAATCAAAAATACAAAAGATTTTCCTTACTTTAAGGATTTTTTTAACATGAAGCTGCATGTATTGTACAACACTCGGTGTACAATAAACTGGTAATGCACATAAAGATGAGCAGGATGAGCAGTATGGAACGCCTCCCGCTGATCCTTCAGCAAAACGCCGTGACCGATCATTTTACGTCATCACGGCCCACCGAGGACGCGCTCAGGGCGAGGCTCGCATACGCGGAGATGGCAGTCAGGATGGTGGAGGTGGTGGGACTGGGAGGGGGCTACCATGGTGGGACCTCAAGGCGCCGTCCCAGGTCCACAGGTGTTCTCTTTGCCTTCTGTTAGACGTCTGGACGGCAGGTATGAGCTGCCATCCATCATCGGTCTGTTCTAGCTGAAGACAGAACACAACGTGGACTCTGGGACGACGCCGGAGCCTTCACCCCATGTACAATTTACATTCATAGTCTGGACATGTGCGCTCGCCGGGACGAGTTCACACCATTGTGCCCTTTAACGATTTCACTTGAATAAAAACAAATTCTGATTTCAGGAGAGCTACTAACTTCTGGTGAGAAAAGGCAGAAGACGGGCCAGCACTGAGCAGATGGGAACCACCTCTGAACAGAACCTGTGCTGAAGGGAGCAGCAGGGATCGTTGGGGCAGGACTCACCTGGATAATTACACCTGGGGAGGGGCATGGGAGTCACACTACACAACACACACTGAACACTGGAAAAAAGAAGCTAACACACAGGGAGGATGGGCGTCTCCGTGGTTCTGCCTGTGCAGAGCTGTGAGGTCTGATTGTCTCTTTCCATCGAAGCGTTTTGAGGGTGAGAGCAGGGAGATGCCACGGGGGGGAGGTGGAGAGGAGAGGGCTCGTATGGCACTGTACAGGCAACCCAAACTCCCACTTCTGCTTTAAAATGCACTTTCAAACAAGAACTGAAGAGAAACAACGCATGCCAAGTTGTCACAGAGGTTCCCTCTAGAGGGCCTGGGAGCTGACTGGTAACATCGGACTAACATGATGGACCTCCCGGCTTCAGGCCGGTGAAGTCGCCAACATCTACATTTCCACCTGCTGTGTGTCTCACTGTTAAATAAATTAAGCTGAAACAACAGAGGAGTAAAAGTCCCGCCTGCAGCTGGGCAGCAACACATTCATATAGTTACCATTCCTGAAACACGACACCTTAAACTGTGCTAAAAGAAAGAACGAATGTTTAAAAGCACTAAAAACGTATGAGACAGACGGCTAGAGGGGCTGACGGTAACAGGACGCTGCTGGTTCCACATGTATGGCTGGTTCAGGCTCTGGCCGTGGACTTCAGGACACACTGCTAGAGATGTGCTACATTAGCGGTAATGCTACTGACATAGCCATCGGATCACAGCTCAAAGAAACAGCTCAGCCAGAATACTTGATTAGGAGTAAGAGACAATACTGATTACACATGAATGACAAATCAAATACTAGTAATAAAGAAAGGTTAATGTCAACGAATGCCCTCCAACCATTACAATATGTCAGATTTACAGGTAAGAAGATCTTAATCCTAACGTTAATTAAGGAGCCATGATGTGTCCACAGTGAAGCCAACACGCTGATTCAAACCTCGAGTTGTTAGAACAAACTAAGTCGTGGATTTAGCTCCTCTTCGTTTGCGGTGGACCGTCGTGAACGCGCCCACGTTCTCGTCACGGGGAAAAGGCTCACAACAGAAGGACATGACCCCTTTTAAAATATCTTACAAACAGAATAAAACATTCTAGCTTTTTTTGTCTTTTTTTCTTAAAAACAATGAAACACCAGTTTTACCAGAAAAAACTGCAACCGACGATAGAAAGTGGACAGAGCTACAGAGGAATGCATATGGTTGAACGGCTACAGACTGTGGCTCGCCCACATCGGTGAGTGTGTGTGTGGCTAGGAGTAAACATACACACATGCACAGATGGGTCGCCGGGCCGGTCGGTCCTGCTGCAACGGGTCTGTAGCCAGAGTGTCAACAGCGTGAGCACCAGGGGTCGGTTTGGGTTCAGGGACTCTGTCGGGCCGAGTTCCTCTTTACCAGGTGGCGTTTTCACATCCACTAAACCAGCACCAAGACTTCAGAATGCAGCGTGGAGCCGCCGAGTGGCTCCACAGCTGGAGAGTCGCTCAGAGAGACGGGTCGACCTGGGCCGGTACACAGGACGTGTGACTTCAGCTATGCATTCAGAGATTTTTTTTTTTTTTTAGAAAATTTCACCCAGATCTTTAAAAATGTTTTTCTTTTGAAGTTTTTAAAAAGCAATGGTGTACTTAAAAACAAAACGAGGAGGAAAAAAAAGGCTAAAGTTTTAAAAGTAATGGCAATGTTGTAGTTTGTAATCCAAAGAGAGGCTTTTTACACGCGTGTCGTTTTCAGTCTTTTCACGTCGTCCCGTTCTGAGACCGGCGGTCCAGTTCAATCAGGAGGCAACAGGTCGTGAAGCCGGAACCGCTCCCGAACGTGCGGCCGCACATCCTCGTTCTGACGGGTTCAGCAGGTCGACGAGCCACCAGAGGAGGAAACAAAGAACATGTCAGACTACAGGCACTGAAACGGTCCAGTATGGCTCTGCTGCCCTGACAGGAGGACACCTTACCATCTCCACCAGCTTCTCCAGGAAGGGCACCAGCTTCAGCAGCTCATTGTCATTCTTGTCCATGAACCAGCTCTCTATGGGAATCCCATTGGACAGCTGTCAAGACACAGAAACAGGCTGATTGTGACGGCATGAGGGACACCTTTGGCACAAACAGAAAGAAAAACGCTCCCACTGATGTCTGGAAAAGGCTGCTGCAGTTTAACAAAAGAACGTATGAAGGAAAAATAAAAACAGGCCAAGAAGTCACATGTCAGATATCCCCATCGGTCTCAGGCAGGGATCTCCAGCTGTGGTCCTCATGAGCTACTGTTCTAGATGTTACGGCAACACACCTGACTCAAACTAATGGATCAGTAACAGACTTGTGTAGAACTTGACAACAAGCTGCTGGAGATCCGTTAATGTGAGTCAGGTGTGTTGCAGTCACATCTAAAACCTGCAGGACAGCAGCTCACGAGGACCACAGCTGGAGATCCCTGGTCTACAACATCTGTAGTCAGTGAAGAGAGCATCACTGAGGAAGCAAATGTCTACATACCCAAAAAATAAATAAAATAAAAATAGGACGCTCTAGGTGTCTGTTAGATTCAGCTCAGCAGCTCACAATAATTGATCAATCACATCTTTGAGTTGCTTTGCAGTAATTAATCAGACAATAGCTGTAGTTGTAGTAACAGGAAAAGTAGAAACGGGCTCCAGTGTTTCTGTTCAGGAACCAGGCTGATGTTTAGTTTAACAGAGACCAGCTGTACAGAAGCTCCACGTTGTTCACATCAAAGAACCAGAAACATGGAGTGTTTAACATGGGTTTGGCCTCATCCTGGGGCCAGCTCTGCATTTCCAGGATGAACCTGGTCACACACACTCATACATGATTGTGTTTCTGTAAACTTCAGCGTGTGTCCTGTTCATTTAGTCCCAGTACCTGATATGCAAAGGCTTGTGGTGAATTGTCGATGATGATGGTTTTTGACAGATCTCTGCCCAAGATGTTGAGGTCCTTGATGTAGTTTCCCTGGACACAGACACAATGCTCCCGAAACAACCGGTGTCTACGGTTACAGGAGGGGATGTAAGGAAAGAGGGGCCAGAAGAAAAAATCAATCAGTGACAAGGTCAGCAAAATCAATAATTCACAAAAACACCACACTGACACCTGAACAGCACCGCACGGCAGCATCGCTGCTGCTTTCATTCAGGCTCGCGTCAGCTTTCATGTTTTGTTGCGTAATGATGACCAACTGACACAAAACACGGCGTACCTCACGAGCTGCTTCTTAGGGTCCAAGATGTTGAGCAGTTTGTCTGCATACACCTTCTTAGAAGCTGTGAAAAGGATGATCTGGGACAGAGACATGGACAACGGTCAGTGTTTAACATCGGATGCACTCAGGACGAACTGACCGGAGCAGCCAGGTTATATTTACCTCGTATATTTGAGACATGCGTTCCAGAAACTCTCTGAAGAACGGCCTCAAGCGCACATACACCTGCACAAGACCACAGACCGCCGGTGAGCACGACATGTATAACACACACTGAATCAAAGCAGCATTAGTTCTGGTACGTGTTGACTGAACAGTTCTCCGTATGAGTGATTAGTTTGTCTTTGCGAGTACAACTGCTTCCACAGGAGGCTTTTCAGAAGCATGACTTTAGCCCCCTCTAGTGGCATCATGGGAAAAAGGAGGGAAGCAATCCTGTAGGTAGAGCTCACCTGATAAATGACATCCTGGAAGAGGACAGGGAAGGTAAGTGCTGCATCCTCCAGCTCATTCAAACTGCAGTGGACCAGCGTTTCATCCTGAGCAACACGAGGAGAGAACAGGGAAACATCAGGACGTGTTTTAAAATCCCCACCGAGATTCAATCATTAAAAAAAACACATGTAATAAAACAGTGTGTAACTGACCAGGTCCAGGACCAGAGAGAACTCAGGCGTGCTGCGCGTCTTCAACGGCAAGGCTGGCTTCCGGGTGAGCTGCTCCTCCGTCAGCGGAGGGACGTGCTTGATGAAGAAGTACCTGCAAAGCAAAACTAATTAAAACACCAGAACTCTGAGGCACCGTTTACACGCAGCTAAAGCGGTGATACCTCGACGTGTCTGGGTCTTTGGTTTACACGCAGACGAAGCTACGAGTCACCGAAAACCATCACATCTGAAAACTAAGTGGGGATCTGGAAAAACTCTGTCTGTACGTTTGCATGTAGACAGGAGGAGGCGGAGTCTGAGGTCACATGTGTGCGACCATGTTTCCAGTCTGGCTGCTGGATGGATGGATGCTGGTAAAGCGGCGCTGGTTCTAACAGCACATGTAGGAGCAGCTCCACCTCTCTGTAGGTCCAAACAAACCACCCCACTATCATTCAAAGTAACAGGAAGTTTTCGTTGTTGTGTATTTTCCAGGATTCTGATTGGCTAGCATGGCTTTATCTCGTTACACTGCCCCCTGTAGGTCTGGCAGCTCATAGCAGCTCTTTCTGCAGGTTTGTGGACATTAAGATGTTTTCTGAAAGCGATCTGGTGAGAACGATGCTATTTTTGAAAGCGTAGATCCGTTTATTTGTTTGTAAACGCCCGGCTACGTGTAAACGTGACCTGAACCAACAACTTTCTGAGCAAAGTGGATTAATGAAGCTGTGAAGGAGGAGACCAACGTCAAAAAGGGTCAAAAACCATTTAACCAAGATGTTTTATCTACTCGCGTTCTTTTGAATGAAGAATAAAACTATTTTTTTGTAATAGGTAAATATTAGCCAACATGTACTCCAGCTTAAACCAACATGTGCTCAGAATAAGGTCGCGTTAAATGTAGAACAGCTGTTGATGAGAAAACTTTATTTTTATTTCACCCACATCAAATTGTCGCCTCTGGACTCTGCTCTCAGTCAGAAGCCTGTCAGTGACCAATGTCCTGCTTGTGTTTTACACACTGGAAACCTGAGCAAACGGTGGGTTCGGCTGCCAGCTCGGTGGTCTGGACATCGTTTGCCTTAACCTTTAGTTTTTACTTGCTATGCAGCTTCCCTTGTTTTCCAAATATCTGCTCGGTGCAGTGAGGTGTGGCTCCAGGGAGGAGTGTTTTATGACTGCAGTGTTCTACTCACGGGTCAAAGACCTCCCAGTCTTCCTCATAGGATGCCTCCGGTGGTACTGCGGTGGGAGGAGCGTCCACATACGCCATGTCTGGACTGGAGCCTGGAGCTTGGAGGAAGAATATTTGAAAAAGCAAGATGAGACGAAGGAACACTAAGCAGAAGAGCAAAGGTGTCAAAAACGTCATCGTTACATCAACATTAAATGAAGACCTTAAAGCTTCAGAAGCACGTTTCGTTGGTTATCTACCTGTGAGGGGGGGAAGGTCAGCATCGGCATCCAGCTCTCCCTCCTCCGTCGTGGGAGATGCCTCCAGGATGTGTGGAGGCCGCAGAGGTGGCAGCTGGGATACACTAGAGTAGAAGTTAGTGGTGGCACACATTTCCTGTGTGGACGTCGCCGTGCTGGTCGGAGTCTCAACAGCTTGCTCCATGTCCAGCTGCTTGACTATCTCCTCGGCCTCCAACGCCTGGTCTGGAGAGTCTGAGCCAGAAGAGGCTGAAAAACAAACACAGCAGGGAGGCGTTTAAGACGCTTTCTATGTCCACATAACTGACACAAAGCCCACACATCACCGCTATGTCGTACAGAAACGTATAGCGAGCTACGCTATGTCACGGGGGAGCAGCAGGATGACGACATACTGTTGTCATAAACCACAGAACAACGGCGTCGTGACTTTACTTTGTGATGTACAATACGAGAACAGCTCCAGTCAACAGAGCATAAAGGCCACCTCACAGCCTGCTTACCATTCTTAGCTGGTGAGAAGAAGTTGAAAACAGGAGAGAAGATGGTCCCAAGAAGGGTTGTTCTGGGGGGGCTGGTGGTCACCTCAACGGCCGTCGTCTCCTCCAGACTACCGTTGGGCTTCTCCTTACTCCTGTCATGATTGGTTGCCTCTGCAGGTGAGATTTAACAGGTTGAACAGAGACGAGGGGGAAGCAGAGACCAATGATTAGGCTTTTTATTCACTCACGTCCATTGACGGAGCCTCTCCTGCCGACTCTGCTTATGGTCTTCCGAGGGGTGTTGGTGTTTGGGGTGGTGGAGGTGATCAGGTTGTTGTCCACATCACAGTGGAGGCGTGTCTTCTTGGCTGGGCTTTCCTGCTGCACCTGAAAACAGATTCAACACTCGGAATAAATCACCAAAAACAAAACAGGCTCAAATGACTGAAGTTTAAAACGAATGCTCCTGAACGGTGGCTGCATTCGTGTCCTCCGACCAAAGTGAAGGTAAAGGGATGATCATGCTCATTAATCCAAACTGGACCACGCTGTGAGACACATCCACACCTGTAGCTGCTGTAGAACTGTAGTGATCAGAGACGGGCTGCTATGGACGCTGCCTACAAACCATTCAACAGCTTAAAATGACAACACAGTGGTCCTAAAAGAAACTAGTCATTTAACAATACTGTCAAAAACTGTTTTTCTACATGTGACTAATCGTTGATGGTGTTTGTATCACCAGACACCATCTGCATAACCTTAAACCTGATGCTCCACACCTTCACACCGCCTGCAGCATCTTATTACTCCTGTTCTGAATAATGTGACATGAAACAAACCTGTGGACCACGTCTCATACAGCTCACAGACACTATCAGCTGCTAACAGTCAGAAAGTCATTTAGCTAATTACTTCATCACTAAGCTCATTAAGGATTTAAACACATGCCGCTAAAACTTAAAGCAGTTTGCATACATTGGTGCTTAATGAGGAAAATACAGGAAGGACATGACAATATGTAAAATGTGAAAAAGCCCCCTCGCCTTTCCACAGGAAAAACTTCTTTTAGCCGAGTTGACTTTTCCACTTGTTGCTACCTCCTGTCCCTGCACACCAGCTCCGTGAGCCAGATGCTAAAATTAGACGAGAGTCCGAGTTCTCAGACAAGCTGCTGCATTCCAGCAGACATTTCTTGGGAAACATGACACTCTGCACCAAGAAACACTGCATTTAACTCTGAGACCTGGACAGCACATTGTTCAGTACAGCTTTAAATCTGAGAAGTGCCAAAAGCTTTGGTTTAACACTGTTAAAGCTAACACACAGAGGAGGAGGAGGAGGAGGAGGAGGAGGAGGAGAACCTCCACTCCAGCTACAATACGTTCCCTAAACGGAGGAACCACGCTCATATTGGAGCGATGCGATCACTAGAGGTAGTTACCTTCACAGCATTTCCTCTGATGAACTTCTTGATGGTTGAGAACAATCCCCTCCCTCCGCTGGTAGGAGTGTCCTCTTCTACTTCTGAATGCCTCCGCTTGGTTCTGGATGGGCGGCTGGCCAGCGTGGGGTTCGGTTGCTGAGACGCCTTACGCATTCTCAGCCTCATTGTTTTAGCAGTCACATGTAAGGCTGCTCCACAAGAACCAGACATAAGGACAGACACAGTGAGAAACAGGCAGGGGAAGAAAAGGGAAAACAATCATCACCGTACAGTCAAGGAAATAAACTCAAACACGGGCCCAACAGGTTGTTCTGACCCGCTGCACACGTACAGCTTCTAAGACGGATCAGTCCGTGGAGTGTATCTGTGTGTAGAGGAGTAACGCTGGTGCACTTTCTGCCAACATCTGGATGCATTCAAGATCCCATTTCACTTACATCAGTGGATCACGGCAGCAGCCACAGCTGGCTTTACTTCCATTCGTGCATTTTTAAAAAAAGCATTACCCCGGACCGAACACTATACGCACACAGCCGAGCACTCCCAAACACTGGCTAGTCCAGTACGGTCCAAGTTTAAGTCGGGTCAACAACAGAAAACAGAAAACTGTCGGCCACTGACAAAGACTGAGATAAATCAATAGATAAATCTGATCTGAACCTAAACATATCTGTAGAAGAAACAAGCTCATGATGATGAGCTCCTTTATTGGTCAGCATGTGCTTCAGCGTTCACGATGAAAACTAAAAACAATTCACAGTGAACATAAAGCCTCAGTGCAGCGTGCCAGCCCCTCGCGCTTACATAACTAAAAATGTGTCCGGACATATCCACGGCCTGTCAGGAGCGCTCAACGCACAGCAGCGCCTTCTCATTACATACTGTACATCTCACATACTGTCAGTGTCCTTCACTACATCTGCTTTACATTTACAGAAGGGGTGTATCCACGAACACAGCACAAGTGTACGTGCTGTTGCCCAATCCCACGCACAGGAGGAAGAAAAAAAACAGCAGCAGTGTCAGAGTACACGGGAAAATTAAAGTTAGAGGCGAGCAGGGAAAGTGGGACGAGCCTGAAAGCTGCGACTGTTCAGAGTCAAATAACGAACAGTGAAACTACATCAGTCAAATGTACTCGTCTGGAAAGATGCTCTGACTTATCAACACATTCAACAATTAGTGTTTGTGCTTTAAAAAAAAAACAGTCAGACAAACTAGTACATGTATGAGGAGAGATGTTTGAACACAACCTCAATTAAACGTTGGAATACAGTTTCACAGAATCCAATATTTAATTTTCTGACACATTCAGAAAAATCTGAACAGATCATTTGTACTTCTGAAACTTAAACGTGCTTCGATGAGCTTTGCTTTGGTTTGACTGTGTAGAAAACAACTGCTTTCTCAATCATTTATCAGCTGAATGCCTTTAAGCATTTTTAATGTTCTTAAACACCCACTAACAGCTCTGGGATATCGTACATCATGTTTCCTCGTCTTCAGTGGAGGAGACGACCTCCTAAAGCCTCTGCCTTCAGAGACATGGCTTCCCCTCAACATACAACTAAAACCATTCACAGTTTGCATGTCACACATCACGGCACTGACACAACCTTTAGAAACAAATTATGTCTGTTTAAAGTACATCTGGGAAGAACATCTTTTATATTTTTTATGTTATTGCACATAAGAGGCTGGTTTCACTCCAGTCCTGAGGTGGTCCATAAACTACTTTGTCCTTTCTCAGGTCTATTAGTTGATGCGATACGACACAGTCAGAGGAAATCCTTCAGCTCAACACATTTGGCATCACAGGAGCCTTCCAGTAAAGATGAAGCTTGTTGTTGAGATGATCAGAGGAGAACCTCACTAACACCACAGGAGTTCCTGATCCCACAGGTTGCCCGACATCAGCACTGCAGATGGTGTCCTTGTGCAATGTTTGATAAGTAACCTAACATCTCCTGCACTTCTCTGTGCTCTCATCCAATAACATCATGTGAGGAGTGAAACCTGTCAGATGCAAACATCCAGTCCTGCTCTCTCTCTCTGAACGGGATTCCTCGTGTAATGCGATTAACTCAAAGTCTATTTGATGTGCACATTTCTCATCTGCGTTTTACATGATGTCTATAATCTGTTCTCTGTTGCTGTACCATGTGTCGTGTCTTCCTTCTGCCCGTCTTACGCACATGTCAGTGTGAACAACACACCAGATTTCCTTGTCGCCGCTAAATAAGAATAAAAATAAAATGCCCGTTATGTTTACTGTGTGATCAAACCCCGCCAAAGCTCGAGTGACAGCAACACTATAGCTGCTAAAGATCCGCGTTTCCAGGCAATCAGCCACTAACCAAGGAACATGCACATAGCTAGGTACGAGCAAGTGAGCGGGAAATAAGAACATGCATGCAACCGAGACTGTATGAGCGAGCTAGCAAAGGCTAGCAGTGGAAACACGGCGGAGAAACCAGCGAGGCCCCTCCGACAACCCGTCCGCTGCAACATTTACCCCGAGGCTAAGGCTAGCTGAGTTGCTCATCAAGTTGGTAAAGCATAGATCAGAAACGACAATATATACATAGCATGTGGGCATATTGCACATGTGGTCCAGACGCCCCAATCACGCGAAAACAAACGTTTGTGAAAGTTGCACTAAATGATCGTGATCGCCGAGCTTTGCAGCTAATCGAGCGGCTAGCCCGGTTAGGCTAGCCAACTAAACGGAGTACAACAGGTCGTGTGTTGCCGTTTATGGCGGTGTGCAACACAACTTTGCTCTAATGCACATTCTTTCTACGCTGCCACATTTCACAAGTTGTTAAAAGTACCGTTGCATCGTTAATAGGACCTGACAGAGCAGTTTGCTAAAGGTAGCGTTAGCATTGCAACAAGCCAAGCCCAACCTGGCTAACTTACCGTTAGCAAGCCAGTGCGGCATCGTAAGTTCAGCGAAATGACGGTAAAATGACAAGTTGGCTAAATTTGGGACACTAGTTAGCTAGATTGTGTGAAGTCTGGATAAAGAGTTGACTCGATTATCAGCCTGCATTATGAACAGCGTCGGTGTTATTTGACAGTGAAGCTCGTCAAACATCGTTAATCACAACAGCCGACACAGTAACGCTATCCAAATTATCTGCTAATCCATTCAACGTTATCTTAAGCTAACAGTGCAGCTGATGGGATTTCATCGATTAGCTGGGGCACACAAGCATGTCAAGCTCAGTATCCGTTAAAGTGATATTAAATGGAAAAGACGGGGCTAGCCGAGCTAATGCAGACCTAGCAAACTTCAGCTGAGGAATGCCAAATTTGGACGAGGCTAGCCTCAAGGCAAGCTAGCAAACCCAACCTGGCGGCACTGTACTGGACTGTCCATTGATTTAATAAGGTGTAAACAGTTACACTTTGTAGGATGAACATCTTAGCAAGCTTTTATTGGACTGCTTAGCACAACGTGTAGAAGAAAGCTAAAAATAAAATTAATAAAATGTCGGGGCCGACCAGGAATTAGCCAGGTCCGCGGTAGGCCGTGCTGTAGCTGCCCTTAGCTATGTGACTTAGCCTAGCGCGGCTAGCTTAGCGCTGACCCTACCTAGCCTTCTTGAAAACTGCTCCGGGCTAACAGATGTGCACAGGCGGGGAAGGAAAATATTTATCCTGTCGTTAGCCAACATTACATAAACGCGAGCCCCGAGAAGACCAACGCACAGGACGGGGTTTGGTTAACGGCGCCGACTTACTTTACAGTGATCCGCAGTGTGTGGAGGCAACGACTCAGGTCCGATTCACCATCACAACACAGGCACCGCTTGTTTTCGTGATCCGTCCCGACTTTTTCTGTATATCTACTCAAGGGCCGTCTTCGAAATGACACACCGTTGTGTTACCAGGCGCCATTTCCCGCCTCTGCTCGGTCTCTCCGAGGCAGATACCCGTATGGGACACAGACACACCCCCTTACCTCTCAACAACACCGCCAGGCCGCCGCTCACCTCTTTCTTCCACTGCGCGGCTCTTCACGGCTCTAAGTTAAAAACTGAATTTACAAAAGATGAATGACTCTTGCTGTATATCCCCAACAGATGTTTTAGCATCGCTACAAGAGACAAGCATCATGATTATGGGCTGTAGGCGCCTGAATAACCAGAACAAACTCCCCTCTATGACCATCTGCGCTGAAGCACCGGAACAAGTGACAAATGACACGAAGCATCACCTTTAATAAAATTAAATTACATTCAATGTGCCTTTCCATGAGAAATCAATTTTCCTGGTTGCACAAACAGAACTGGTTTCATGTTCACAGATTTCCCTAAAGGTGAGGAGGCAGGTGTCCTCGTACAAATGGTCCAACTACAGTATGTACAGGAGAGCTCATTAATGGAAGCATGTGTACAGTCTGTCAGCTCCACGCGTGTCCATCCCACCGTGGAGGATCCTAACGTTGCTCTAAGTATTGCTTAAGCATCAGTATTCTGCTGAATTCGATTAATAAAAAGTTTCAAATGCATGCAATGGCATCATGTAAAAAACAAACTGAATGAGGAGCACTTTGTCTGTCACAAAGAAAAGAAGGTATTTAATAGGCCGTGAGCAGAGTCCTTGGCATTTGTCATGTGTTCCCGCTCCTGTCAACCAAAAACCCAGTTCCAGTAAGAGTCCCAGAATGATGTTAGAAAGGCAGAACGCCGCGTTGGTCTCTGGTCCACATCCCAGGCCAAGAGTCCGTTTATATCAAGCAACACCAAAGTGAACAGAAAAGTAGCAAAAACAAACAAACAAACAAACAAACAAACAGTTCCCATGTGAGTGGACAGGCCTCCTCTGGGCCGGCCCGGTACGAACCGAGGCAGTTATCAAAAGACAAAACCCAACAGTCAGTGTACAGTACATCAGCTCTACTGTCATCTCCTACAACCATCAGCAAACCAACAGCAGCTCAGAAAACAGGATGTTTGTTTCTTCGATTATGTTACATTATTCAGAATTAATTTATTAGTTGCAGTGTCTCTTCTCAGAACAGTCCGTGACACTGAGGACGCGCCTACAAGTTCTGATGGTTCAAACTATTCTGTCAAAGAAAGACTTGGATCGTAGAGGAAGGTCTGAGTGTTTTTAATCAGTTACGAGTTCCCATTCAGAGAATGTCATTGGCCTGGTGTCTCTTCCCGTAATCCACAGCCCGATCGCCCTGCATGTCCCGGTCGTCGTCGTCTGGGAAGAGAAGCAACACAAACATGAGTGATCATGAAAGCGGTGGCGTCTCCGGTGCTGCTATCACATCAGGAAACTGGTTCTGTTGGTTCACAGGAAATGGTCACACAGCTCAGTGTGAAAGTCTCAGGATTTACTGCAATTTACAGGATCACTAATGACACAGTGACTCCATGCTGCCTTCAGGCTTTAACGGATGTCTGGGGGTGTTTATGTCAGTCAGTGTGACACAGAGCCTTCCCTCTGCCCCCCGCCTCAGCAACACGTCATTACTGTAGAAATACAATATCAGACAAAACCGTTTCCACATCGATTAGCTGTAAATAACAAACACATCCTGTAGTTTTAACTAAAATCTGACACTTTATACAAGCTGTCACATATGACAGATGTAATATATAAATATATAAATATATATAAATATATATAAGGGAGCTGTGCTCTGATCACTGGTCTGTACTGACTGAAGTTATTATTTTCCTTTGATGGATTAAAACTGCATTTTTTCCTCTAAATTCAGCACAAGTATTAAACATTACACACTCAGGTCTAACAGGCAATGGAAACTGGTGGCAGGAAACAACCACAACAAGAAAACATGCATTTTAATATTTCAAGGAGAACACAGACACACTGAGGAACACAGTGAGCTAAATATATCTACGGGTCTAGATGTGGGTCAGATGCTTGGTGGGCACAGACAGGTGGTTAGCTAAACGAAGCACAGGCAGGACAGAAACAAACTAGATGGAAACTGAATTACTCTCACAGAACCGTAAGTTCCGGGTCAAGCTGTCCTGATCCACGGAGCAAAGGCTGCTGAGGCTGTTACTGTTCCCAGCAAGTCCAACAATAACAGCTGCTCATCCTGAACTGCAAACGCAGCCGTCCCGCTTTGACCCTGAAGCTAGTTTTTCTTTTTTAAATCATAATTCTTGAATATCTGTGGTGCTTTCAAGGCCCAAACTCAGGGTACTGTGAGCTACTCAGGACAAATGCAGTGGGGCAGAGGCAGGACAGGGGTGGAGGGTGGGAGCAAGGGAGGAATGGTGGATACACATCTGGACAGGCAGTCCAGCCCCCCGGCCTGGCTCACCTTGAACGTCTTCCTCCCCACCATCACCATCCTCTTCCTCATTGTAGGCCAGCTCGGCCTGCTTGTCGGCCTCATACTCACCCACGTTCCCATCGTCCCCATTGTAGTCCGCCAGCTTAGAGCCGTGTTGCGGATCTACTGGGGACTCGTTCTCATCAAAGAACCGGCCTGCAGGAGGCAGAGAAGGGCCTCATCAGGAGAGGGAGGGAAGCGGAGGCAGTTGTAAAGAGACAGGGAGGTGAAACACTGCATAATGAATGCATGAAGGAGGGAGTGACTGCATGACGAGGAGGACAAAGGACGAAGTGAACACCAGGTGACAGCTTCTAATTTAAAGACGAGTGTTTCTGAAGTGGAAAGAAAAGTCAATCATGGACATGAAAGCAGAGAGCCAGGAGGAGATAAGCAGGGTTCCTCTGTGACCAGGACCAAAGTCTGAAAAGCACTAATTAAGTCATCATCTGATAATCAATCAGATAAATCAATCAAATGGAAAACCACATCCCATCTTCTGTTTGGTTTTGTGGCAGGAGGACTGTTCTTAACAGCCAGAGATGGTAAATATATGTGTTAACTCAATTAGCCTGCTGGGCAGTCGTCCGGCACCGGGTCAGAGTCGTCCGGCACCGGGTCAGAGTCGTCCGGCACCGGGTCAGAGTCGTCCGGCACCGGGTCAGAGTCGTCCGGCACCGGGTCAGAGTCGTCCAGCACCGAGTCAGTCGTCCAGCACCGAGTCAGTCGTCCAGCACCGGGTCAGAGTCATCCAGCACCGGGTCAGAGTCGTCCAGCACTGGGTCAGAGTCGTCCAGTACCGGGTCAGAGGCCTTTATAGAAAACAGTCACTTTAACTTTAAATGATGGAAGACAGCAACAGCTGCTCTAAATGTGATAAATAAACTACTTATATTAAAGTTTCTAAAACTGTCATTTAGAAAAAACACTTAATTAACTTAAATTGTGTTCGTCATTGCTGCGACCTCTTCCACCCCAGACTGAGGCGGTTTACGTTCAGGTCTGAAGCGGGACTGGTTCTGGCTGGCTGGGCCTCGAGCTGCACTGAACCAGGCACCCAGTCTCTCATCTGATATCGTCTAGTGAGCACCACGCACCAGCAAAAACCACATATTCGGTGGGTGCTGGGTAATAATAAGACGAATTATTTAACAATCAGAGGCAGAAGATGAGAAGAAGAAGAAATGAAGACGTGGACTGAGTGAGCGAGCTGTGTTCATGATGGTGAGGTGGATGCAGGAGAGAGATGAAAGAACAGAACATTTAAAAACCAGAGAAGAAGAAGGAGGGTGAAGAGGCAGCAGAGCAGAAGCCAGGCAGCAGGAAGGATCATCTGGGAGCCAGGTGTGTGCCATTCGTCTCCTCCTCTGTCTGCTCCCTGACACTACTCCCACCAGACTCATGACTGACATTCACACCATCAGGAGCTTTAAGTGTCATGAAGAGGTGTTATGTTGAAGGTAGGGCTGTGTCCACTTAGCAGTGGACAACATTCACACAGATGGCCCACAGCAGACTGGACTTTACTGTCTGCATAAACACATCAGAGAGCTGTGGGCACAAAGACAGAGCTACCAGAACCCAGGTGGTTCTACTGTAAAACTCGGCACCTAATAAAAAAAACACACAGCCTCTTCTTCCATGTCCCATATGTGCTTTTTCAAAATGCGCAACAAGGACTCACTTTGGCGGTGGTGCACTGGTTCTGCTGGGTCTTTGGCGCGGTGAGGCTGGATGGGATTGGGCACCTGGGCAGGGTTGGGCGGCAGAGGAATCCTCTTCAGGAGGTCGCCGTCACCTTTAACGTTATCGGGAACTGACGACAACAGAGACACTTAGAGCATGACTGTGTCTAGATCACGGACCAGTGACTGCCTCTTAAACATCCCTCATTCTGACCCGGTGTTCTCAGAGCACAGTGTGATCAACCCACTACATCTGTATTCTGTGATGCTGCGGTGGAGCTGAGAGAGGCTGCTACACGCGAGTGGGAAAACTCATTAAAATCAGAGAAACTGACACCAGCTCGTGTACCGTGATAACAGCTCTCTGCCGCTTCCTTCGCTTAAGATTCAGTGAAAGTAACATAATTAAAATGAGTGAAGCCTAACACCTCATTATCAAACGCCTAAAGGCTCAGGAGGCAGACTAATAGAACAACAGAGCGGTACCAGGGTGGTGCCAGGGTGGTGCATACTGTACCTCGGAGCTGCCTCTGCTGCTCTCCCAGCTCGTCCGCCTTGATACCTGCCTTGTTGTCCTCCTCAAACACCACCGGTTTGTCTGCCTGTTTGACGCCTGGAGGCGCGATGGCTGCTGCCCGGCCGTCCACTCGGTCCTGCTGGAGTCTGGGCTGGTCCAGCAGCAGTCCCTGGCCCCCGGGTCCATCTGCTGCCCCGAGTCCAGGCCCGGCACCGGCTCCCACAACCGCGTCAGGGGCCTCGTCGTGCTTCTGAGTGATGGCTGGTTTCTTCAAGGCTGGAGGCGAGTGGCAAAGCGAGAAAGGCCAAAGAGGAGGACGTGTTGTTAGGGAACGTTAAGGATTTAGAAGAAATGTACAGCAGTGACTCCAGAACAGGGTTTTAACTCCACATTCCCTGACATGAGGACGAGTCATTTCGTGACCCGGCTATAGAAGCACACATCACACAGGTGACCGTCAGACACACATGTGGTCTGCTGGTCTGTTCATCCCATCAGCATCGTCTGTTTATAAAGTTCAGGTGTGTACGTGAGACGACACAGACAACAGGAATCAGCCTCCACACTGGTAGAGAAGACGCCCATACAGAGTCCACATGTCTCTGTAGGATTCCTCTGACTAATTAATTCACTGAGGTAGCCAAACTAAACACATTGCTCCTGACGGCGTAGGTTCACTGCTTACCAAACTGCATGTCATCGATTTTTCCCACCTCGCTGTCTTCAATACCAGGCATCCCAGCGTCACTGCCAGGCTTCCCCATCTCTTCTGTAACGGAGCACAGTGAGTGGGACTTAGACCGGCAGTCCAGTAGCTGAACTCCTGAGGTCCCTGATACACTAATACCATTAAAAACGTTCCTGAGTGACTCTACGAGCAGGTACAAACTGATTTCTTCTAGTCATCAAACCGTGTACTCAGCAGGTTAGCGCCTCGCTGCGCTGCATGAAGCTGGTGTCGACCTGCACTGTACCTTTTAAATCTGACTGCCTGTCATGTCGGTGAGTGGCCACCGTGTGGCGCTCTCCGCCCAGCTCCACACCAGGTGCTCCATCCACATGTCTACCTGCCCCGACGCCCTTCTGGCCATCCATGACACTCTGAAGAACAAAAAAAAAGAGGAGAAAACACTGTTTAATGACAGAGAAGCTTTGAAAGGTGAACAGACGTGGGGACATGAAGTCAGCTTCTACTATCAGTAGATCTACGTTCAACTCCCAGAGCAATGACTGATAAATATATGCAGCGTGCAGCAGAGCGCCACCCGTCTGTCGGTGGAGATCCATCAGAACCAACCTGTCTCAGCTTGGATGCTTCTTCCTCCAGAGTCTTCTTTGTTTCTTCATACTCGTCTTTGAGTTGTGCAATCTGTCGTCCACACTGTAAACTAGTGAACACAGTTTGATTGTAGGTTTCCAGATGGATCATGTGCACACAGACAGACAGAAGTTAACACCTTAAAAAGTGCAAAGAAGACAAGAAAACATCCCAGCAAGGAGAAGGAACGAGAGCATAAAGACAACCAGCGACCAGGTAGACTCTGATTAATATGAATATTCAGCGACTGCATTAAAGGTGGATGCTCCTCATTGGGAGGTGTTTGCATATCGTTTCACAGCCGCTGGAGGTGAAGTCATCTCCCCCGGGGCACCCACGGAGGCAGACGGAGACGCTGGCATACCTTTCATACTCCAGCTTTCTTTCCAAGGTAGTGCTGTTCTTCTTCACTTCTCTCAGCTGCTCCTCCTGCTTCATGAACTCCTGCTTCAGCTCCTTCAGCTGCTCTGTTCACAGCAACACACACACACACACACACACACACACACACACACACACACACACA